CTATTTCAAAAACCTTCAGAATGTAACGTAACAAATTACAGGCACTGTTCCTCACCTCGATACCTAGAATCTCGCGCTAAGCTCCAGCACATTTGGTCAGCTGGTTTTACCGCTTTATGTGCTGCACAATGGCTGGTGGAAAAGATAACTTACCATCCAGAAACCACTAGGTGCTTTCTTGTTGGTTGTGCAGGAGGCTCCACTTCTGCTTTTCAAAGATTTACAGTTGTATATTTGCACATCTTTTTGCAGCCATTTTCAGGTGAGTTTAAACACTGAGTTGGGGTTGTAGCCAACAGCAACAGCTTAGTTGGAGTAAAAGAAACAGAGACACTAAAACAGGTCAACCTGGAACTGAGCACATTGAAACTGGAACCTAATTATCTAAGAACGATTTGGTGCTAAAAATGTAATATAGTGATATTTTTATAGCCCACATATTCCAACCTGTTAAAGGAAGCATAGTGTTTACATTGATTTTCCTTCAGATGCTCCTCTTCTCGTTGGGTGGATCCTTTCTTTATTACGCCGACCACTTCAAGCTCTACAGCGGCTTCTGTGCCAACCACATCAAAGTCCAGAAGGTTCTGGAGAGAGGTGACCATCACACACCCAACATCCACTTTTTCTGATCTGATCAAACATGAGAGCTGGACAAATCTAACAGCTGCTTCTGCGATGCAGCGAAAACAGACGCAGCCTTCAAGCACTTCCTGGAGACGAGGAATCCGACCAATCAGCACTCGTCTTCTCTGGAGTCGTACCTGATCAAACCTGTTCAGAGGGTCCTGAAGTACCCACTGCTGCTGAGGGAGCTGGTGTCTCTGACTGATGCAGAGAGCCCCGAACACACACACCTGACAGGTAACACACACTCCTGACAGGTAACACACACACCTGACAGGTAACACACACACCTGACAGGTAACACACACCCGACAGATAACACACACACCCAACAGATAACACACACACCCGACAGATAACACACACACCCGACAGATAACACACACACCCGACAGATAACACACACACCCGACAGACAACACACACACCCGACAGACAACACACACACCTGACAGGTAACGCACACACCTGACAGGTAACACACCCGACAGGTAACACACACCCGACAGACAACACACACACCTGACAGGTAACACACACTCCCGACAGGTAACACACACACCCGACAGGTAAAGGCACATTTTCTCACTGCCTGCACTTCCTCTTCTGTCCACTCAGAGGCGCTGAGAGCGATGGAGAAGGTAGCGAGTCACATCAATGAGATGCAGAAGATCTATGAGGATTATGGCTGCGTGTTTGACCAGCTGGCAGCCGAGCAGAGCGGCGCTGACAAGCAGGTAGACAACCAACCAGGTGAACGTTGTGAGGAGCCATCGGACCTGCTGGACGGTGTGACATCATCCCGTCTCTCCACAGGTCACGGAGATCTCGATGGGGGAGTTCCTGGTCCACTCGCCGGTGGTCTGGTTGAACCCTCTGCCGTGTCTGCGGCGGCTGAGGAAGGAGCCTCAGCTCACGCTGTTCGGTTGGTTCAAACTCTTCTGCAGTTTAGTTTCTGTTTGAAGGCGGTGATTAACGTCACTGCTGCTTCCTCAGTGTTCAAGCGAGCCGTCATCCTGGTTCACCGTGACAACAAGCTGAAGAAGAGAATGGTCGGTTCTGTTTCACTCTGTGGTTTAGTTGTCAAACCCCAACAGAGTTAAAACTTGATGTTTTTTATTTGTGTCCTGCTTCAGACGAGTTCCCGTTCAGCCGATCTGGATCCCTTCAGGTTCCGCTGGTTGATCCCAGTTTCAGCGCTTCAGGTCCGACCGGCCAACATCCCAGGTCAGTGGGCCGACAGAGGCGGGTGTGTTGGTGTAAACCGGGCCGTTCGGCTGAATGACTCGGTGTGTCTGCAGGTTCCGAGGACCCGTGTGTGTGGGAGCTGGTTCACAGCAGGTCGGAGGTCGAGGGTCGACCAGAGACGGTCTTCCAACTGTGCAGCAGGTACCAACTTTATAGGGAACGACTCTATGGACTGGAGAATGGGTTAGTCCAGAACCAGGACTGAATCAAGGGTTTATTGCTGATGAGGGAAGGTGATGGTAGCAGCTCTACAGAAATTAGGTAGACTTTGTTGAGTTTGAAAGAAAAGATTTATTCAGGTTTTTAACTTCACTGAACACAAACATGGATGATGGATGGATTGATTTCCATACTGATGAATACCTAGGAAGCAGACGAAGGTCTTCCAGGCCAGTCCATGCTGCAGGAACCCTGAACAGAACCGGTCCAGAACCTTTAGTCCAATGGAGAACTGAACCTATAGAGGAGAACCTGGATCGATGACTCTGCTGTTTGTGTTTCAGTGATCTGGAGGCTAAGGCTGCTTTGCTCCGCGCTCTCAGCTCCCTCCTCAAAGACCGAGCTGCCAGTGGCTCCCTGAGGAGAACCGAGAAGAGCGCCACCTGGAGGAGGCGGCCCAGACCCGGCCGCTCCGACCTCCAGAGAACCGCCCCTCATCCGCCGGCGGAGCGCTGCGGCGCCCTGGAGGAAACCTGCTCCGAGCCTCTGCTGCCGAGCCACGCCGGCTCCTCCGGGACGAGGCCCAGACTCTGCTCTCTGACCGGAGAGCTGGAGGCGCAGCTGCAGCGCCTCAACTTCTCCGAGGAGGACCAAGGAGCGGCGCAGCGCCTGGACGAGGAGAAGAATCGGACCTTCAGTCTGCGGCGGGGAGCAGCCGGCGACAGACTGGACTTCAGCAGCTTTGTGGGGAGAGACTTCAGCGTCCAGAGCATGACGTCCATGATCAACGAAGACTGTTTCTACGAATCGGTGCTGGCGGTCCAAACGGACAACGTTAACCTGCGGACTTGAACCTTCGTCTCTCTTCTGATTGGACCTGAGGGAAGTTGGGGCCTCCACCTTCATTAAATTAAATCTTTGTGCTGCAAAATCTCAGTCTTATAAAATATTTTTGGTCTAGTTTCTAGAGCAAGTATCTTAGTAAATTAGACCAAAATCTTTTTGTAATATTTTCTATTCTTGTCATGTTTTTGCAGCAAAAACTTTAATTTGTGCCGCTGTCATTTTAAAGATGTTAATAAATGTTTCCAGGGGTCATCAAAGGTCAACCATCCACCAAAGATTTACAAAATTAAGCAGGTTTGGTTTCAATCAACTGTGCTACAAATATTTTAACTGCACAAACATAGAACAATAAGTTAATATCAGTTTTGTTTGATTTTGTTCATGTGGGTTGGGAGGGCAAGTTGATCCATGGAAACTTTTATTTTAAAAACTCTTACAAATTACAACAACACAAACAAAACATTTTTATTGACATCATATTTTGTAGGATTTTGTAAATGTGGACTCGCTGATTGACCTTTAATGACCTCTGGAAATATTTAGTAAGACGTTTAAAATCTTAATAAAATTCACTCAGGTCCTGATTGGCTGCTACAGAAACACCTGATTAAACCAGCAGATGTTTCCAGATGCTGAAGCTCAACGAGGTCCTAAACTAACAGACGAGGAATTTCATTTAAACCGGATCTGATTCTGGAGTTTCTTTCCTTCAATGTGGAAAAATAATGAGACAAATTTAAATAACAAAAAAAGTTTTATAGGGAAAAGACTCAGAGAAAACGGATAACACAGATTTTAAGCTGAATTTCTTTTAATCTTTTCATCAATGAAACACAGAAACTTTCTAAAAACTGATGTCACTGGTTTTACCTCCAATTTTAATCACAAACATTTTTTTCTCAGATGACAAAAGTATATTTAGTTGTCAAAAATAGATTTTTAGTTAATAAAATATCACTATTTTGTTAGGATGTTTTTGTAAGTTATTAAAGTTTTAGAACTTTAGTCAGTTTTTTTTCATGTAAAATAATTTATTCATAAAATATTTATGTTTAGTTTTCTCAAAAACTGATTTTAAAATTTAAATGTTTTACGGAAATATTTCAGGTATTTTTCTCTGATAATTTTTGTATTAATTTAAAGGGTGGAAATCACGATTTTTATAAGTTTTCTGTACTTTATTTAAATAAATTTCATGAACTGTTGTCTGGGAGCAGAACCTCTGAGATCCAACAAACCGGCACCAGCAGAAAATCTAAAACCGAATAAATAATGATTTTTTTTCTCTTAAACATAATATGAAAACACATAAACCAGACGAGATTTTCTTTTCCCTCAAAGACAAACTGGAAACCATGGAAACTTTTCTGTCTTTTACTCAGATTTATTTATTTTTTTATTCTGGAAGGAGGAGATTTAATAAGAGACGAAGTCGATCTTCAGTTTGTCGAGTTTATAAAGGGCGAACAGAAGCCTGGTCACTGGAAAACTTTGATTTTCCATTTTTATATCACCTAAATGTCTGAACAGAATCACCAAGTGAAACCAGCCGAATGTTGATGTTTGGATCCTGAATTTTTTTTATATTTTATAAATCGCTGTTGTAAATATCCCTCTGTGTACAGCTTAAGCTCCAGTTGTAAATAGTTTTATTTGACAAAAGCAGTTTCTGGATAAAAGTCCAGAGCCGCTGCTTCATATTAAAGCCTTTTGTACGTCTGTTACCATCTCTATTTATATTGTTTTTTTATATATTGTTTATTTTTATTGAAAGGCAACTGTTTCATTATGAAATGAAAAACTGTCAAAGTTTTTGGTAATTTATTTTCTTAAATATTTGCATTCTTCTGTAAATGATGAGGTGCTGTTAAACACTGATAAAATGCAGAATATTTCATAAAACTGATTTGTGATGCCAACATTTCTCAATGTTTCATTTATTATTTTGAATGCGGTGCTTTGTCTCCATGGCAACAGTTAACTTGCCTGTAGAGAAAACAAACTTGCCAAAGATTTTTCTGCAATCATGTTATTTCTCTTAATATTTTTTTTCTTTTTCTTTTCAATCGATTGAAACTTTGATCTCCCATTTTCCATTGTTGGACACCCCACCAGGTGTTTGACATAAAGACATGCTTATATTTCGGATAAAGTAAAATATTGGCTGCTTTTTTCTTCTTGACACCGTTTGGTTTAATATTCTTTGTTGTATTGTATCCTAGCATTAGATGATCAAAACATTCTTATTTCTAAAGCTATTCGTGGTCTGTTACTTCATATTTAATATACATTTTTTGTAGAAATGCAAAAATGTGTTACCCACAATGGACGCCATATTGACGTTTTTTGCACATTACATCAGCCCAGCCCACTCGGCCATGACTTCACCCAGATGCTGTTCGCTCCTGTAAACCTTGTCACATAACACACAGTTGCTTATCTGATATCGGTTTTATTTCGTTGATTTCACTGTAAAAATCATCATCGAGTGCTGCGCGGTTGACGCCACAAAAAGAGAAGGATGCAAACCTAGCGTAATGTTGTCTTAAACCTTTGGCGAGGAAAGAAGATGGCGACGATAGCAGCTGTTGATTGTAGTCGCGGATTTGCAGCAAAACCTTTTTACAAGGTAAGATGATTAACGTTCACTTTTTAATTAAGTTTAGTGAGATGCAATCAAATATTTCATTATGAATCTGTCTAATCATTAACGACCATGGACAGAATGTCTTAATGAGATCATGTAGCCTAATTGGTTAGCATCTACACTTTTAGTAGAGAATCCGTTTATGACAAGTGGTTCATGTGGCGTGAATTTAGGCAAAATCTGGGATTTGATCAAATTAATAAACACTGAAGAACGTATTCTGTCGGCTTGGGCTACCCTGTCGGAATAGCATACCTTAAGTCTATTAGTCTATTTTATCAAGGCAGTCTACCAGAGTTTGTGTGTTTTGTTGTGTAATTAACGCATAAAACGTGTAGTCGATGCTGAAGTAATGATTATACTGCTTTAGAACCTTATGCTGTTCTGACGAGGTATGCTAAACCGACAGAACTTCGACTTCCGTCATTATATTATGCCTCCACGTAACGAATGACGTAGTTGCAAAGGTCAAACCTTTTAGTTTTTTTAAATTCCCCATATTTGAGAATAGAATATGTTTAAATAATTTTGGAGTTGGTTGATATTAAGACATCCTGTCATGTCCCAGATGTACCTGAATGCAACATAAGCAGCTGTTGGGGAAAATCCTCTAACTGACTTGCATGTTACAGGATCTACAGAGTTCTGGTGGATTTGGAGGCTTCAGCTGATTTTTCTCCAGTTCCAGGAGGTTTACACTCAACATGGTGTTAAGGTGAGTAAATCAGTTAATTGCAGAGTGAATTACAAACCTTATTGCTGTTGAAAGGTGCTAACATGAAGTTTTGACTCAGTCCAACTTTTATATTTTTCTATTTATTAGTGGTGGAACTCCATTAAAATTTTTCATTGCATTAATTGTGGAGTCTGTGATTAATCTCAGTTAACTGAATCAAAATCCATGTATCAACAAAATAAACCTTTTCAACTCAAAAACCCATTTTGCTGCTAAATTATTGATTAACCAGATATATGAGCAAAACAACAAACATATTTATTGATTTTTAAATTGTTACCCAGTTTATTCAACCATCAGATTGGTGCAAAGGGTTTTTCTACCTAAGAGATCTTTAGAAATGTGAACTGTGGATCCTGACATTAGCATTCAGGATGTCTGTGCTGCTACGTTTTTGGCATAGAGATGCCATTTTAGGTTCTAATAGCTTTACTGGTAGGCTAACTACTTTTAGCACAACTTGAACACAACAATAGTCTTTCCAGTGTCAAATCAGATCATCTTTTGAAGGAAGAATTAACCCCAGAGAAGCAGCTTTGTCATCCATTGTTGTTAGCAGATGTTGCTTGTGCGTCAGGCTTATCTGCGTACTGGAAACGTATGAACACAAAGGTTCCAGCTTGAGATTTTTGTCTGTTTTGATTTTATTTTTTTTAATTTATGGGGTAACATTTTTTTATGCGTTAAAATCTATGTAATAAATTAATCAAAATTAAACTAAAGTCCAGATCTAAGTTGTTTTCTTACTTTAGCCTGAGATTATTATGCCTTAGAACAGGGGTATCCTCCAAACCCATTGATCAAATAAATTGTCTCGTTAACAGAACTTTTCTAAACTTGATTGGATAATGAAGAGCTAATTGAATCATTTAATTCTCTTGCTTAGAGCTTGTTGTTTTCTAAAGGTGCTTTTAATTTGAAAAACGAGCTTCATCTGGATGTATTCTTTAATTTACTGAATAGACAAAACACAGAAATTACTTAAAACATTGAAAAAAATCAAACAATCTTTAATATATTCATCTAGAAACCCTTTTTAGCTTATTTGGTGCTACATTTCCAGATTTATATCCAAACCACTCAGCGTAGGAAGCCCAGTGTGTGTGTGTGTGTGTGTGTGTGTGTGTGTGTGTGTGTGTGTGTGTGTGTGTGTGTGTGTGTGTGTGTGTGTGTGTGTACGGCTCAGATAAGGCTTTCATTTACATCCCTGTCTGGCTGTTAACTGATGTCTATTGAAGCCTCCGGGGGGTTTTCTTTCTTCCAGATGGTTTGATTCTTCTCCAGACCATAATTACATGGGTCAGAGGTCAAACTGTCGCCTTTAATCCGAAGCTAATTTCAGTCATAATGGATTTCAGACCCAGGACTCACAGCCGCTGTCCTGTGTGAGGACGTCGGTTTAAGGAAAAATCTGGCATATTTTAGGTTCTGATTGATTTTATTTTAAAAATGTCAAAGTTAATAATTTATTTCAACTTTTTTATTGAAGTTTTTTTCAAAACTCATTTTTTCAAAACTCAGAATTTTCAGGTGATTCTGTGATGATTTCAAAGCAAAACGGATAAAAAATCTTTAGATGTGAACACAAAGTAGATATTTATTAATTGCACTAAAACAAATTTAAAATTTGAATAAAAACAAACCAAGTAAAACAATCTGTTAAAAAAAAACAGAAATCTGAATTATTGTGAGCACTATTTTTCCTAAAAATATTTCAAAAACTGCAAAAGCTTTCAGTAAAACTAATTTAAAATAAAATAAAAATGTCTGAAAACTAAAGAGACACAGGACCAAATAATCATTGTCCAAAAAATATATTGAAAATATTTGTATTATATTAAAAAGGTAATAAACATTAGTGCAAGAATTAAAATCAGACAATGAAATTATTACAGAAGGAATTAAATAACAGATAAAAAATAATTGTCATTTTAAATATTAACACAAAATGTTTTTGCATAAAAAACAAGAAAATAAATATTTTAAAATACAGAATCTATTTTTATATGTAAAACAATCAGCACACTTATGATCAGATCTACAGAAAACAGCATATGGAAAAAAATCATTGCTTAAAATAAAGACTAAAACAATGAATAATTAAAACAAAATGCTAAGTAACTGATACTAAATCATAAATTTACATGTATGTTAATTGCATTAATTCTTAGGTCATTTTTAAATTATTTCTAATTTTACACTGATTTGTTTATATTCTTATAATTTTAGTACTACTTACAGTTATATTTATATCTTCTATAAATGGAATACTTTGTTTTTGAGTAGCTTGTCAACAAAATAGCAATTTTCCCTTGGCAGTCAATAAAGTAAAACATTTACAGGAACAACTGAATATAGGTTAGAAACAAATAAACCAATTGGTAAAATACAGAAAATAAGAAATAAACCAACAATTCACATTAATATAAGAAAAAAACACTGAAAACAAAAATTTAAATTATATGTAAGGAAACAAAGAAAAAAATGATGAAAACATTAAAAGTCCTTCATAATGGCTCCTTATCAGGCCTGAGTTTCACCTGTAAAAAAATCAGTTCTATTAAATGTTTTTTCCAAACGAACTGAAAAATTAAACCAATAAAGTCGATCAGCTTCAAACTGCAGTTTTTCTGCTCTGAAATAAACTGAACGAGGGATGAAAGAGGGAGTGATGGAGAAAATGAGAGTTTGTCCTCTGTGTGTTTTCTGCAGAGCGAAGGCCTGCAGGCGCCGCTCAAACCTCCAGAGAGCTGCTGTAATGGAGCGGCGCCTCGCCGAGCGACACGAAGCAGGCGGAGGTTAAAACATTCTGTTCAGGATGTGGAACCAGCATCAAACTGCTGCTTCCACACGGCGGCGCGGCGCGGAGCGGCCCGCGGCGCCGAATCACTCATTCTGACGGCTCAGGAATAAATTAATGACCATAAATATAAACTTAAAACTATAGACACATAAATGCACTAAAATATTAAAACAAGCAATTAAATTAAAAAGATAAACATATAAAATGCACAGTATGAATTAAATAAAAAATATGCAAAGCTTCTATAAGGATGAACCGTGAAAAAACTAATTTTATCGGCTTTGTGACATATGTCTGATTTATTAGAGCAAATAATACAAAAGCATTAGGTTTTTATTATCAGATCATTTAATAAAACAATTATTTTATCAGTAAATCAGAAAATGTTGGTATTTTCTGTTAACAAAACTATTAACTCTATGAAAATGTTTGTATTTCTGATAAATGGACCTGAAATCTGCCTTTCAGTCTGTTTATATAAAACGGTGAGGAAAAAAATAAAAAATTATTCCTAGAATTAAAATAATGAAAAAGATTTAAATATATTTAATGGGTGTCTGCAGTAAAACTTTATTTTGGTGCAAATTGTAATAGAAAAAAGTCCATATTTTTATTAAATTGATCAATTATCTGATCATTAAACAGAACTTGAATTAGTATTTAGTTTTTTTCTGTTTAAATTTATTGGATTATTTTACCAGAAGTCCATGTTTGTAGTTTCTCCGCCCCGTCGATCCCGTCCGGATCAGGTGAAACGGATCCGGTCGGGTGTCTGCGTCGTCGCTGCTGCTGCTGCAGATCCACGCGTCTTATTGTGAAAGGACAACGAACCCAAACTGCTGCAGCAGAATGTGAAACGCGGCCGCATTCAATCACAGACGTCAGCTCTGCCTCTGCGGTGGGAACCAAAACGTCTGGGTTCTGTTTCCTCTTTGTTGGGAGTTTTCAACCCGAACGCAACAACATCAATTAGCCAGAACCGACGCCTGCGGACTCTTTAAACTTCTTCTCTCCCAGAGAAGCCGGCTGGAAAATGTGTGTTTACAGTTTGCAGGCTGTGTGTGCAGGATTATGGTAATAACAGGCTGCCGGGCCGCGCCGGTGGGCGGGCGGACGGGCGGGTCCGCGGACCCTTATCAGCGCGTTGCAGCGGTTCTTCACCTTGATTCTCTGCTTTATCACCAAAACCAGACGAAGACGCTTCTGGAAGCCCGAACGATCTGATGCCATCAGCGGCGGCTCTTATCTTCACCCAGGTTTGCAGGAGGCGACCCAGAAGCGGCGAGAGGCGGCGCTGACCTTCAGGCTGGAGAGCAGGACCGGGTTCTTCTGCTGGTTCTTCTGCAGGATGGGCTGAAGCTGTCCGGTTTCCAAGGAGACGGCAGGCGGAGGGGTAGTGAGCCCACACACGCTGCGCTCTCGCTCACCGCTGGACGTTCGTCTCTGCTCAACTTCCTCCAGATGTTTGGCTGCATCAGCATCGCTTCAGTCCGGCGGAGCGGCGAGGGACGCCGCCGCTTTAAGAACACTTAATTAAGAGTCAATGATCACCAATTGAGCCATTGAGCCGGCGCGTCCAGATTTCCAGCCTCAGCTGCGTCCGTCACGCTCCACGCTCACGTCTCTCCTCCCACTGGAGGAATTATCTGCCCCGTGTCCGGGGGGGGTAAAACATGCTGTCCGCCGCCGTTCAGATCCTGGCGTTCGCCCTGGCGCTGCTGGGCGTCCTGGGCGCCACCGTGGCGACGCTGCTGCCCAACTGGAAGGTGAGCGTGAATGCGTGGAGCAGCATCATGACCCCCATCTCTCAGATGCAGGGTCTGTGGGCGGACTGCGTGTGGTACAGCTCCGGCGTCTTCAGCTGCACCATGAAGGACTCGGTGCTGTCGCTGCCGCCGTCGCTGCAGATGATGCGGGCCGGCATGGTTCTGTGCTGCATGGTGGCGGCGTTTGGGCTCTGCCTCGGCTCTCTGGGGCTCAAATGCACCCAGTGGGGCGGCAGCCAGCGGGCGAAGGGCCACACGGCGATGGCGGCAGGCGGCTGCTTCGTCCTGGCCAGCCTGCTCTGCCTGGTTCCGGCGGCGCTCTTCACCAACGAGGTCATCACTGCCTTCCTGACCACCGACCTGCCGGACAGCAGCAAGTACCAGCCCGGCGGCGCGCTCTGCGTCACCTTCATCGCCGCCGGGTTCCTGCTGGCCGGAGGAGTCATCTTCTGTCTGTCCTGTCCGGGAAGCAGGTCCGCCGGACCGGACAGCGTCTCAAACTCTGACTCGATCAGGCTGGAAAGGAGGCAGGAGCCGAAAGTGGAACCCAAACAGAAGAAGAAGAAAAGCGTGCGGCTGCAGACGGATGAGGTGAGGCAGGAGAAAACGGTTCTGGACCGGCAGAAACTCCCACAGAAAGACCTGAAGGACAACTACAGCCTGCAGGAGTACGTCTGATGCTCAGACGGAGGGGAAATGTGGCGTTCAGGCGTCTGAACTGGGGGAGGTGTGTGTGTGTGTGTGTGTGTGTGTGTGTGTGTGTGTGTGTGTGTGTGTGTGTGCGTGTGTGTGTGGAGGGGATAATTACTAAATGTTGTAAATGACAGATTGTAGATTCAGCTGAATGCGTCAGAAGCAGAGCAGGACTCTAAAGGAAAAAAAAAAAAACCTCAGAGACACAAAAGGCTGAAAACCTTTAAAACCCGACGGCTGCAGCGTCACTGAAACCAAAAACCTGAAGACAAAAAAACGTTTCAGCTCAAACTGAAACCAAAAAGCCATTTAAACCAGCCAGTTTTCTGCCTTCAGATAAAACTGATGCTCCAACAGGGCTGCAACCACCATTTCTGGGGACGGGGCCCCAATGCAACATTACACTCAACGCTCTTTTATTTTTATGCTGTTTTTCTTGCAGTGCATGAAAAAAAAAGTTTCATTCTAGATCTAAACTGAATTACTTTGTTTCCTTTATTACCTGCAGAGTGAATAACAAAAAAATCCTGAGAACAGCTGCAGATGAAAACTGGAAAGTTAGGAAAGCAAACCTAAAGCTTATTTTTCCATTTTTATCTGCTGAGGAAAAAAATACGGACAGAACAAAATTAAAAATGTACAGGAGCATCATGCATGTTTCATCTCTGCACAAAAACTCCATCCAGTGGATCACAGTAAATGAAGTAAAATATTTTCCCTATTATCAGATTTTTTCTGGGTTCAATTTCCGTTAAATTTATTTTTATTATTGCACATTCTGTGGAAACTGAGTAAAACTGCAGGGACATTAAGTAAATGTACTGATTAGCAGTCTGATGTTCCCACAATTATTGTTTTAGCAAAAAAAAATCACAATTGGGGTTTTTAAAAATGTGTCCAGATTTGTACCAAGGATAATCTAAGAAGCAACTTAAAATAAAATAACAAGGGTAAAGTAATTGTATTATAAGGATAAACTTGTACGAGAATAAAGTCATAATATTATGGAAATAATGTCAAAATAATGCAAGAATAAAGGTGTAATTTGAGAATAAAGTCAAAATTACCAGAATAAAGTTATAATATTATGACTTTATTCTGGTAATTTGTTTAATCTTCGTAGTGTAACCCCAAAAAACTTTATCCCAACTTGTTACTTTAGTTCAAATGAATGTATATGATCAGCTTTAAAGGACACAAACTTGTTTCCCCCACAGCAACAATTAAAAAACATGATCGCCACCTACTGGCAGAGTATGGTAATGGTCAAAATTAAAGAGCAAATATAATTTAAAGTTACCGCATCAGTATCTGCTAAACATCATGTTGGTCTAGTGACTTAGCATAGTGTTTAGCGTAGCTAACTTAGTTAGCGGTTTTCATAGTAATGAAAACATGACAAACATCCTTGACAGGTTGCCAGAGAGAAAACATCAGTTTCTCCAGATTTTGAATAATTAATTTGTTACAGTTGATTATATTAAAATGTAGATTATTTTGAAAACCCCACTAGGTGGCGATAATGGCATCAAAATACATGATGCTAGCAGTGCTAGGCTAGCAGCCTTTCAGATCTTTTTTTAGTTCATCTTTTATTTGTCGCTGTTCGTTTTTTCTGTTCTGTTTCTAAATTCTGCAGTTGATACTTGAAGTTCATTGGAAACAATGTGCAGTTTAACTGGAACGTCTCGGTTTGTTTGTTTTTTCTCACCTTGACCAGCGACTGGGTGAGAAAATCCACATCATTGTAAAAATGTTCACTAAGCAATTAGATGCAGATTTTTCTTTATTAATTTGTGAAAAGGTGACTTTAACAAACCAACACCTGCCTTGGACAGGCAGCCTGTGTTTGCAGATTGCTGAGGAACCTTCCAGGAGATTATCTGGAAAATTGCTTTGATAGCCTCTTTTCTGTTTTAATGACTGCTGAGAAAATCACAGCTTCTGAATGTGTGCTGAATTTTTATTGAACGCTGCTGCCTTCACCATGTCTGCTTTGGGTTTGCTCTGATCTCATCAATAATTTCTAGAAATCCTTCACTTTCTGCTTCAGCTGAACACTCTTGTATGAGAAGCAATAAAATATGTTGAGCTTCTTAGATTCTGCAGTGTTGTGAATTATTTTCCAGAACGTCAAGCGGACATCCACTTCATCTTTTCCTCTCGGTTAAATGGGGGAGGAGGGAGGTAATGATGCTCTTTGCTTTCCCATTATCTCCTCACCTCGGTTGGTTGCACATTTCCCCTCCGCCTCCCAGCTGCAGCCGCACCAGGAGGACACAATGGACCCGGAGCCCCCACAGTGTCACACACACTCAGTGGGCGCCGTCAGCCTGACTGAGCCGTCAGTCACTCTGAACTGATCGCCCACTCTGCCTCCCGGGAAATGCTTCAGATCTGCAGAGCAGAAAACAGTCGTCAGCACTGCAGAGCATTTCACATTTCACCATCAGTAGATGTGGAAAACTGGACACAAGCGGTGGAAGAAATCCAACTCTGCATCAACAGAACGGTTTCTGAGCCTCTGCAGCTGCTGCAGGATTCACATTTCTCCTCTTTTGATGGACGAACAACTTTAATGAGCCGAGGTTTAAAACATTTAATTAGCTCAGGAGGCGCCGATTCTCCCAGCCCCCAAAGCCAAATTAAAAGCTGTTTGAAATCTCTGAGCGCTTCCTCTAATATTTAATTAGCTGCAGATTTGAGCTACGATCAAATGTCTCTACAGATTAGATATTTTATCTTTTTACCCCGAAGAGCCAAATTAAGTTTGATGCCTTAAAATAAACTATCAGTAGAAGCTCAATATTTCATTGGAGATCAAATTCCTTCTTAGGCGGAAAAAGTTGGGTTTAAAATTGTCAAAACACCTGATTCAGCATTTTCATGCACACAGAGCCCAATTTGCTAAAATTTAAATAAATATAAATAATATTTGGTTCCGTAGCTTATCTGTAAATACCTGAAGAACCCGTCAGGTGCCAGAAGTTTGTACATTTCTGTTCTGGTGCAGAAAAGTGTTTGCAAGGATTCAAATCTGTTCTCTTGGAAATCTAAATATTAGACCATTTATTGTGTTTTATGACTCTTTGGTTGACAGGTCAGGTTTTTGTGTTGATCGATCGGTTATTGATGGCAGCCAATCCGTCAGACGAACCGGTCGACTTCAGAGGCAGAGGATGGTAGGCAGACTGCAGTGGAAACTAAATGCATTCAGCTGGAAGCTGCACATCCACACATAATCATTATTTGGAATAATCCTTCAAATTAAAGTACATTAAATCAGATTATCAGCTGATTTCATGTAAAATTGATTTTGAAGTGAAACCTGATTTGTGTATTTATAACTGTGCAAACATGAAAACAAAAAAGGTTGTTACTGAGAAATTGTTGCCATCAAAGTGATGCTTTTACATTGAGATAATTTTATTTTGTTACAATTTAAAAAAATACAAGCCAGAATTTTAAAACTTAAATTATTTGTCCGTCTCATTCAGTTCATGTCTTTTGTATGTAGCCAAACTTTCTGGTGCAAAACATTTAAGTTGCTTTAAATTACATTTTGGTTAAAAAATATCCTGAACTTATAATTCTGAAGTAAAAAAAATGTTAACATGCATGAAAACTTTCCAGAATGACTGAAGTGAAACGATTCTCAAAGTAAAGCGAGTCAAACTTCCTCCACAGTGAAATTAGATTCACAAAATCAGATGGTTGTCTTTGATCTGAAACATGAAAGTGTGACATTTTAATGTCATTTTGTTTCAGATCAGAGTAACTCAGGTTCTGCTGAGATTTTACATTTCATGCATTAGTAGATGAGGTTTTTAATGAGGCGTTTGGAGCATCTGGTGGTTTTGGACAACAGAGAAAGAAGCTCACCAGACAGAAGATGCCTCGCTTTGTTACGTTCGTCTGAAAACTGAAACCAAGGAAGATGATGAGTTAAACTTCCTGTTTTTCTGACTGGTAAGTTTCTGTTCCTCAAGCTGCAGCAGCAGGTAAGACACTTCCTTCCTTTACGTTGAGCTTTTAAAAACTTTAACAGGACTTAAAGAATGCAAACATAATAATCATTTTGAAAATCTATTTTAAGTATTTTTGACGAGTTTCTCAGTTTCAAACTATTTTTAATCACAAAGTCGATTAAATTACCTGTAGTTTCACTGTTGGTTGTTTCTGTCCTGTTTGCTTTAACCTCTGACCCATTCGGCCATTTCTGATCGAAAACAGAAATGTTTGGAAATAGATTTCTGTACAAATGTGCTGAAACATCTGCTTTATGTTGAAGTTATGGGATCTTCACCTTCCAGACCAACTCGGCGCTCATGTGAGTTTCCAGTAAAGCAAAGATTTATAATATATGGAAAGTTATTCAGTGCTTTGTGATTCTTTTCCTGTGTAGATCTCCCTAAACCATGGCGGGAAATGAACTGGGGGTGAGAGTTTTTACCAACATCAGCACCTTAAAGCTTTTTTTGTTATAATTTTTAGTGTTTTAATGGCTTATTAGGGAGGTAAAACTAATTTCGTTATACTTTTTCACCAGCAGATGTCACTAAATCCCACATTGAGGCCAGTAAATACCGTTTTGTTTTATCTGAGCAGAGACAAACAGTCTGACCTGCAGTTTGTGAACAACTTCAGACTTCAGACTGAAGATCAGCAGCTCAGGATTCTTCTTCATGGACCGGCTGGAGCTGGAAAATCCAGCTTCATTAACTCTGTCAGCAGCGTCCTGCAGGGCAGAGTGACCACCATCGCTCCTGTTAATAATCCAGCTGAAGACGGATTCACTAAACAGGTACAAAGAAAGCGAGGTGTCTTCATTTTAATTAAAAGCTGAATGTTTACCTTGCAATCATGTTCTTGTGGTTCTAGTACACGAGCTACAAGATTCCTAAAGGAAATGAGGATCATTTTTACCCTTTTGTGTTAAATGACATGATGAGCCTGAGAAGCGACAGCAGGAGAACCAGAAGAGCTCATGTGAAAGACGTGAAAAAGGCGATGAAGGGAAACATCAGAGATGGTTACGCGGTAACATTTCTGCTGCAGCTTTCAGATTTAAAGAAATAAAAACTGAAATCTTTCTGACCAATGGCTTATTTTTTAATTTTTTAGTTCAATCCTGAATGCAGTTTGTCCAAAAGTGATGAACGTTACAATGGTTCTCCGGATTCCAGTGACAAAGTTCACGTCCTGGTTTGCGTCATCGACGCCAGCTCTGAACCTCTGCAGAGAGAAGATGTGGAGACGCTTCAGGACATCAGAGACGACGCTGCAGAGCTGGGTACACAAGACAGGTTTTATTCTCTAGAAACGACTCGACCTTTAAACTGCTCTCCATTGTTTTGGTTTCATGTTAAATGAAATTTAGCTTTTTGCTGCTTTTCTGTAGGAATCCAACAAGTGGCCATTTTCACCAAAATTGATGTAGCCTGTTCCAAAACTAAAAGAGAGATGAAGAAAGTCTTCAGGAGCAAATTGCTATATGACAGGGTACACTATCATCATTATTACTCATTTATTTCACACACAGTCATTTCTGACCTGATTTTGACCTGCAGGTCCAGAACTTTAGCCGCCAGGTTGGGATCCCCGAGCAGCACATCTTCCCTGTTAAGAACTACGATTCAGAGAAGAACGTGAACGATGAAGTCGACGCTCTGATTCTGAACGCCCTGAAACGGATCATTGAGATCGGCACTGACTCTCTGAAGAACAATTAAAACTTGAACGTTTGTCTGTGAATTGCTCTAAAAATGGCTTCATATTGAGCATCAATGCAAAACTTTTTCTTGAACGTAAAATAAAGCTGTAATTTCTTACAATGCTCTACAACTGTAACAAGTTGTTTCATTAAGACGGCAGCCTTCATAATATTTATGCACATAAACATGTGAAGGATGAGTCTAAAAACTTTCTAAAAAATAGTTTTGGTTTCAACCAGATTCTGGAAAATTTCACAGAATTTTGTGGAAATAAAAACAAAAGTCCTCAATTCTTGAAATTTTTCACTTTCTTTGCACTTTATCATATTATAGTAAAATATTTGCATTAAAAGTGTTTTGAACTAGTGCGTTACTCTGGGTAATGTCTCAGTTTAAAGAGTGGTTCGCTGTCTGATCAGAGAAATATAATTAGGAGGATCATTTCTGGTTTTATGCTGCTGGTATAGCAAAGCAAACGCCACCAAACTCATACGATTTACGTCTCATGCAGGTAAGTTTTTACAACAGCAAAACCTATAAGTTGGGTAAGAACTGCTATATCATACAGTGGTATTGTATAATGTGTAGATCCTTGTATTTTACAAAGATTCATATTTAATTCAGGAAAAGTAGGGGCACAGTGACCAGTCTGCTTTTTTCTACGTTAGATAATGTTGGTCTATGCTGGTCGATCGCGGGAAGGTTTTGAGTTGGTCTCGGCATTAGGTGACAAACTGAACGCCGCCAGGAGACTGAAACCAGCACGTCCTCTTCTGACGTTCTTATCAAAATATTCACTAAGATCCAAAACATTTAACTTTATTAAAGAATAAAATAATTTAAAAAATCATGGATGCATGGACCCGGAAGAGTTTCTCTAGATCTCACTGAGACATCAGTCCTCTAATCCTGGAGATGTTCTTCAGGTGATAGAAGGCCGACTTTGTGACTGTCTTAATGTGGCTCTGAAGGTTCAGGTCAGAGGTCATCACTACTCCCAGGTTTCAGGCTGATCGCTGGTTGTAATAACTGAAGCTGAGCATTGATTCTAGTTCGATCCTCTTTAGGTCCAAAGATAATAGCTTCAGTTTTATTTCTTTTCAGGTGGAGAAAGTTTTGGCACATCCACATATTTATCTGTTCTAAGCATCTATTCAGTGATTGGATGGGGTCAAAGGTCACCTGGTGACATCGTAATGTAGAGCTGCTTATCAGCCGCGTAGTTATGGTAATTAGTCTTGCCATACAATATCCATATCCATATTGGAGCATATGGATATTAAATAGGAGGGGTCCTTGGATTGAACCTTGGGATTCCCCACATGCGACTTCTGTTCACTTCAATGAGATGTTTCCTGTTGATGCAAAGAAATCCCTGTTCAAACCAGTTGAGCACTGGACCGGAGAGTCCGACCCAACTCTCCAGTCGATTCAGTAAAATGTCAA